CAAAGCGTGATGTTTTATAGCCTATAGCCTTCCTCAATAAATGGGCTATCCAACACAGAAAGAATTTTTCAAATCGGAGCAGTAGTTTCGGAGATTAGCGCGTTCAAACAAACAAACTAAAAAACAACTTTCGCTTTATATAATAGAAGAAGATTTATAAGATAATAGTATAAGATATACATTGCCGAAGATACGAGCTCAGCGTTGTAGCGCCTTTAATTACCGCCTCACGAACACAACGTTTAAAAGCCGAACACTGCTAACGAAGTGTTCGTTCAAATCAAATCAAATCAAATCATTGTTGTGCTAATTTGTTGACAACTAATACACGTCTACATCAATATACACGGAGTTGGAGTTAGTAGTTTAAAACGTTTAGATTTATAGAAAGAGAGAAAGAAAAAACTTTTATTCGACAGTAGGCACGCACACAGATACAAAAGAATACAAAATTAAAAAAGAAAAGGACAAATAAATACACATATTTTATATAGATAGGTATCAATAGAAAAAAAAACAAAGAAACCACAGAGTATATAGGTAACAACACAGTGACAATACAATAACAATAATAAAACGGTAATTAAAAATTTATAAAAACAAGGTATAAATAAATAACATTTAACGGCGCGTGCCCTTGCCAAAAGGGGACTTATCAAGGTGGTAAAATCATTGAATGACTTTTCGCCTTTAGTGTCAGACTCTTACTGACTAAAAACCACCCCGTTCCTACTCCTGTAATTTGAGCCGGAGCCCCGGTAACCCGTTAAGAACTCCGCGGCTCCGTATCGGTATCAGCCCTATTGGGCCCCATCCGTGGTGGTCTGATGGCGGGACGCGACGCGCCGTAAATCTCGGGATTGGTTCAGGGGGCTTACTCTTCAATACAATTCTCGATCGATCGACATTGGTATTGTGAAATTTCAAACTCTTGAGTTACAACACTAGCGCCCATTGTATCCGTATTGCGTGAATATTGAATGAACTAAATGGTACTGAGTTTGGCTTTATATTCCGTACTCTGAATGCTATTTTAACAGCTACGAAAGGGGTTGTATAGTGTTGACATTTAATAATTATTAAGATTTTATTAGATTGAAATTGCATTGACATTGAGATTGGTTTCAAGAGTAGCACACTGGTCGGGCCGTCCGCAGGCCCGTGCTTACGGTGGCCGGAGATCCTCAACGCCCGTAGTGTCCTTCGCGACCGCTATATAATTTTATTGTTTAGTAATAGATATTTATTGGTCTATTGTAAACTTGACACTATCAGATAGTTCAGACCAATTATCTATGCTACCGGAAAATATATATCAATTATCTAGGGCATGGCTAATTGCGATTTATCTCCATCTAATAGGATTCATATCTGATTGATATTAAAATTTATTGCAATTCTAGAGCCCGTGATTTTTTTTATGTGTTAAGCCGGTAAACGAGCAGATAGATCACCTGATGGTAAGCAATCGGCGTCGCCCATGGACACCTGGAACGCCAGAGGCGTTACAAGTGCGTTACCGACCTTTTGGGGATTTTAAGCATAGGGTGTTTGAGGATTGTTAGGGATTCATGGATTGGAGAGATTGGGGAAGGGATAGGGTAAGTAACTCACCTATATGACTTGTTGTTTCACGTCAGTTTTCGGTATCACTCCGGTCGAGCCGGCCCATTCGTGTCGGCACGAATGGGCCGGCTGTACCGGAGTGATACCACGGCCTCACAGAAAACCGACGTGATGTGAGTGAGGTTACCGGAGGCCCAATTACCCTCACCTTCCCCAATCTACCCAATCCCCTGAATCCCCAACGATCCTTAAACTCCTAATCCCCAAAAGGCCGATAACGCACTTGTAACGCCTCTGGTGTTCCAGGTGTCCATGGGCGACGCCGATTGCTTACCAGGTGATCCGTCTGCTCGTTTACCGGCTTACGCTAAAAAAAAATAAAGACATCTTCGGATTATTTCGTTGTGAGATCTAAGACATTTAGTCATGTCCCTTAGACGCGCCAGCCTTTAGAGTTTCGATGTATTCTTGACTGTGTGCTGTAAAAAGATAGACAAACAAACAAATACATACTCTTTAGTATTTAAAATATTAGAGATATAGAAGATAATGTATGTCAATCAAATATCGCCCTAAAATTAAAGACGTAGAATACAATTTGCCATAGGACACCAAAGATTAATGATTGGCTTTGTAACTGTAGTATGCGGGTTCACGCATCATCGCACTCGACGATTCGCATGAGCTAATGTTCACATGTAAACAGCAGCTCATGTAAAGAGATTGTCCAGTCAACTGATGGTAGCGGTGACTGTCCAGGCGACACACGTACTTAGGTATCGTCATGAGCTAATGTTCACATGTAAACAGCGGCTCATGTAAAGAGATTGTCCAGTCAATTGATGGTAGCGGTGATTGTCCAGGCGACACACGTACTTAGGTAATGTTATATAATAAATAACTAGTTATAAACATAGTATAGTTATTATTTATAACTGGGTATCCATGGCAACGGCTATTACAAGCGGTTTGTAGATAAACGAGTTTAATTTCCTCAACGGATATTATGATTAGTTTTAATGTAGGTATATAAAATATATTATTAGCTACCTACTTCGCTAGCGGCTTCGCCCGCGTCGTTTAAGTAACTGAATAACTGCCTCGTTGTCCGAGTGGTCGCAAGTGTGACTGCCGGGTATATTTTTTTTAAGGGGGGAATATCATCGTATGACTGCTCCCTCCTGGGTGAGGCGGGAGGGAGTGTCAGACTCTTACTGACTAAAAACCACCCCGTTCCTTCTCCTGCACGTCGAGCCGGAGCCCCGGTAACCCGTTAGGTTCTCCGCGACGACTGCCGGGTATGGGGTTTCGAGTTCAATTCCCGGGTCGGACAAAGTAGTACAGGGGTTTTTAAAAAAAAACTCAGTAGTAGCACGGAGTCTGGAATTGTGCCCGGTATATAGCAACAAGCTCACCCCCTATTACATGGGACTCATAACATAAATAGTGAAAAGTGGGTGTTAAATTATACAGTGGCATTAAATGTCTTATTGTGCACCTCTCTCTGCCTACCCCTTCGAGGATGATAAATAGCGTCGTGTTATGTATGTATAAAATGAAAAAAAATGCTAATGTCTCCATTTCTATGCTACCAAGTGTTGTGACACAAAATAAACAAACGTATTCAATGCATGAATCACAATCTCTCTGATAGAAGAGAACGCGGTACCATAAAGTAGGTACTCACCGCGACCTTGAATCAAATTGTCACACAGTTTTTATCTGCACAAACAAACAGATGACATTAGCTAGTTGTCGTTCATTCTTTTTTAGTACCATAACATGGAGTATGAATATATGGAGTACCTACTTAATATCGTGTTTTATACATTATACAGTCTAGCTATGCTCAGCTGCTTCGCTCGTTCTTTTTTAATTTGTAAAATAAAATATTTTTGTTTTGTTATAACTTTCGCAAGACATATCAAATTAATTATTATTTTATAAATAGCAGCGCGACAGTCGTGCATCGCGGCTGCTGCTCGTAAATATGAGCCTTTAGCATGGCTTGAAACTAGTCGAATTCCTCGTCAAATAATTACGTGAGTAAGCCGAAAAACATAAGAATTAACTTTTTTACGCACAAATAGTTTGTGTACCGATTTTTAGCTTGAATGTTGCGAAATGTTCCAAACAAACTTCCATCTTCCCATTTTAGGAAAATGGTGGGATGGAAAGAGACAAAACGTAGCCTATGTCACTTTTCATCCCTTCATTTATCTCCACTTATTATTATAAGTGAAGTGGAGATAAAACACGACAATTTTTTTCGCTCCCTTATGCCGTGAAAGACGGCCAACCATACAGATACACTCGTTTTCACGTATTTTACAACATTATTTTGGATATAAATGCAGATATACTTTTCGACTACCAAAATTGGACCATCAACGATGAATAAAATATTTATCTTCATAAAGGGTCGGCAACGCATTCCTAACTTTCGTGGTGTTTATGGGCGGCACTGATTGCTTACCGGTGATCCGTCTGCATTTGATGCCCTACACCATAGAATACGTAATTTATGTGTGTCAAGTATGAAAATTTATTCTCTTGTGCGAATTTTTCAAACATTTTAGTACGTTTTTGTTGGTAATTATTTGTGAATTAGTTGTTGTGATTCGAGTAAAGATAATATGTATAAATAATTATGTGCGTAACCATTCTCGAGTTATAAATGATGTAATTAGAACGATTTACGACTTTATTTTTTTTTACTATGCAAAATGTGTAGACACAAACTGTTTGTACGTGGGCGTTAATTGAAAATCACTAACATTTTTTAAATATCTTATTGCGAATGGGGCGCCACCAAATTACGGTGACCTTCGAGTTTTTATGATGAAAGAAACATCACACATTAATCAGTTTAGTAACAAATATTAGAAAAATAATATGTAAAAATGTCAAAATAAAAACAAATACCTACATGCATATTGTATTGGCCAGGGCTTCGCAGGAAAAGACTCAAAGGAATACTCAGCAGGTAGAATTTTAATGAGGTGTTAACTCAACGAGTACAGCACAGCAAGTGAAAAAATTAGCGTCGGTACATACAAAATAAATACAAATAAATATACTAGTTACTTAATCGCTAACATTATACTAAGCACACGTCGTTGCTATGGTATATCCAGCAGGCGCTCGTACACATATCATTTAGTAAAAATATGTTTAAACTGTCAAACACCAAGCGGTCACCGGTGACCGCAACCTATTGTTCTATAATTGTGTCTACAAAACCGGTACTCGACGAGTTAATCTGTTTTCAAATTTGTTTGATCATAATTTGTATTTAATACACATACCTAATATTGTACAAATAAATGTACAATAAATAAGTACTAACGGACACTTGTTCACACACTAAGACTCCAACGTATCTATACTCCATGTTTCAATCATTCGCAGAACGAATGGATAAGTTAGGAATGAAATCAAATCTTGTTCTATGTTCAGTTCACGTTTGACAATTGCGGAGTGCGCGCGTCCCGTCAATTCGTCTCTGAGGATAACTAAAATCGTAAGTGAAATATTTGTTATATTAATATAATTTTGGATGGTAACTGTTTTAGTGGTCGTGTATTTGTAGGTTGTCTATCAAGAAAGCGGTTTCATGTTTGGATCACGTGCTGAAAATAGTAATAATGACACAATGAGTTTTTTGTTTCTTTTTTTGAAATTAACACTGGAATGGAATTGTGTTTTGTTTACAACAGTAGCTAGATTCCTTCAAATTCGTTGTTATTTGATATTATACAAACATAATATAAAAATATCGATTTAAACTAAAATTATAATAACGGTTTTATCATTCTGTTGTTATGATACATGTTTGCTTTGCTCATAACATTTTTTTAATTATACACCTATTTATTATTATCGTTCGTACTTCATAACGATAATTAAAAAAGAAAACAATGGCCGATTCAGAATCCGCTAAAGGCCGGCAACGCAGTAGTAACACATATAGTATTGCGGGTGTCCATGGCCGGCGCTGATTGCTTACCATCAGGTGATCCGTCTACTGGTTTACGCCTTACCTATGCCATAAAACTAACAATTTTTATCAGTAATCTTATGCGTCCCATGTAAGGAACACGCCTATCAAATGGTACATACATCATCAACAGCCTATAGGTGCGTACTGCTGACCAAAAAGCCTCTTCTCACACGGCAAAGGTTTGAGCATTAATCACAACGCTTGCTTAATGCGATTTCAAACTTATAATTAGAAATTATAAGCCCAGGTTTCCTCACGATGCTTTCCTTTACCGTTTGTCAGTGGTGTCTAAATCTTCTTGGAACGTACATCAGTGGCGTAGCGTAGGTATCTTGGCAGGGTCCCGTATAAAAATTTGTTCGGGGGCCCTTATGAAAGGTAAAATATTTCTCAGAAGAGATTTTTTTTACATAATATTGTAACTCATCATCAATCATCATCATCAATAGCCTATAAATGCCCACTGCTGACCAAAGGCCTCTTCTCACACGGCAAATTGAGCATTAATCACCACGCTTGCTCAATGCAATTTCAATTTTTTAATTAGAAATTATAAGCCCAATTGCCTCGCGATGTTTTCCTTTACCGTTTGTCAGTGGTGTCTAAATAATCTTAACGTATCTTGGCAGGGCCCCGTAAAAAGATTTGTTTGGGGTATATGAAGGTAAAATATTTCTGATAAGACATACTTTTACATAATATTGTAACTCCCTCTACCCTAATTATCGGACAATGATTACTTTACTTTATCCAAAGTTTCTGCCATGGAATAGATTTCTCTATTAAATTTCTGCCGACCTTTAAACGCATGCATTTTGTGATTACTGAAATAAAATATATGGAGAAGTTTTTATATTTTTGTTTACACACGTTGGGGGCCCGCGTAGTCCGGGGTCTCCATATGATTGATACGGCAGATACGGCGCTAGCTGCGCCCCTGACGTACATACATGTAACTCGGACAAAGTCACATTGGTACCTTGTATATATAAATGGCATTATGTATGAGAAATCATGTGAGACGATGTCTAATTAGGAACAGATTGTAATCTCGTGTGAACAGTTTGTTTGGACGCGTTGAACTTTGTAACTATTTGATGTCTATAGGTGGCGCTGATCGCTTGCCGTCATATTTTTGGCTTCAGTATCGATTGTAGATCACACCCCAAGTATTCTATTTAAAAAATATTCAATTTGACTTTCCAGTTTGACTTTTATACGATTTTATTATTATGTATAGATATAGAGATGTGTATAGATTTTTTTCAAGGAGGCAAAGTCATCGAATGACTGCTCCCGCCTGGGCGAGGCGGGAGGGAGTCTCAGACACTTACTGACTAAAAACCACCCCGTTCCTTCTCTTGCACGTCGAGCCGGAGCCCCGGTAACCCTTTAGTTTCTCCCCGGCTCTGTATCGGCATCTGCCTTATTGGGCCCGTGGTGGTATGTTGGCTCTTTGAGACATGCGCAGATATATGTATATATAGATATAGATCAATGTCGATCGATCGGGATTGGATTCAAGATTAAGCCTGTCTGAACATTATGAGGGCCCCAACCACTTAAGTTCGCCCCTGTAAACCAAAAACCCGTTGAACCAGAAACGGCCCGCATTAAAAAACAAAATAAAACTCCAGGCTTGTAATCGAAACTCATTTCTTTTTTAGTCGACTGCGTCTAAAAGTATAGGTTGTAGGTTTATTTATTTTACTAGCTTTTACCCGCGGCTACGCTCGCGTCACAAAAGGATAAAAAGTAGCCTATGTGATATATACCAATACACACAACGCCATCTATACCAATACTTCTGTTTTCCCTCGGAAATATCAAAATTTTTCTGGGATAAAAAGTACCCTATTATTTAATCCAGACTTTGTACTTTACGTCTGCAAAAATTCAAAGCAATCGGTTTAGTAGTTACGGCGTGAAAGCGGAACAAACAAACAAACAAACAAACTCACTTTCCGATTTATAATATTAGTAAGGATTTATTTATACTTTATTGCACACATAGAAAAAAATTGTAAGCATTTCAATAGTAATTTGAGTACAATGGGCAGTCTTATCACACGCGGCGATTTCTTCCAGACAACCTTTGGATGGAATTTTTGAAAAGAATCTGGGAATGTGTGGTAGATGCACAATAAAAGAACAACAATAAAAAACAAATTAAACAATCAATGAAACTTACAGACTACATATAATACATAAAAGATAAAAATGGCATATAATACATAAAAGGTTTTACCTTTGATTTTAATGGGATAGACCGACAGTGGGGCAGACGATCGCCTGATGGAAAGCTATTGGCGCTGCCCAGGGATACCCGCAACACTAGAGGCGTTACAAGTACGTTGCCGGCCTTTTGGAAGTTGCGGTTTGGATCATTTTTAACCTCTCTTATATGTTGAAACAGGTTGTCTATGTTCCTAATTGAGTATTAACCTATAAAGGCAGAATAGATCAGTTGACAGGGTATAAAAATAAAAACTTATTTAGTCACTCAGTTATCCATCCATATCAATATCAATACATAGTATAAAACAAAGTCGCTTTCGCTGTATGTCCGTATGTATGCTTAGATCTTTAAAACTACGCAACGGATTTTGATGCGGTTTTTTTAAATAGATAGAGTGATTCTTAAGGAAGGTTTGTATGTATAATACATGCATATTGCACCCGTGCAAAGCCGGGGCGGGTCGCTAGTACCATATAAATCAAAATGAATTTCCGTTCGTTATTCTCGCTAAAACTAGAGAACGGCTGAACTGTTTTGTATAATTTTGGTGAAAATGCTTAGAAGGATGATAATCTTAATTAAAACTTAGACTTATCCGAAAATAATTTGTATTCCTTTGTTTTACAGAGGCCTTAGTACGAGTTTGATTTATGTTTAAAGTATTCGAAACGAGTACGCGTTCGGCACTCTGATTGGCCGGCTCCAATGAACCAACAAATCAGAGCGCCGAACGCGTACTCGTTACTTTTATTACTTTAAACTGTCAAACACCAAGCGGTCACCGCTGACCGCAACCTATTGTTCTATAATTGTGTCTACAAAACCGGTACTCGACGAGTTAAGCGTAAAAGAAACTCGTTCTAAGGCCTCAGTTTGATATAACTACCTATCCGTCAGCTGTCAAAAACTAAAACCGCGCGAATACCCGACTGAGATAGTGTTGCCACGTTCGGAAACTAAATCAATCCACAATATTACTATTTGGCACTTTAGTGTTTGAAATACTTAAATGATATTAGAAAACTTGAAGACCCTCATAGAGTTGAATTTATTCTTTCATATTAAAAACATATTGGTTTTAAAACACATTAGACCTCAGAAACTCAGAAGGCAGAGCAATTCAAGAGTACCACCATTACCTACAATGCAATTATATTGTTAACATCAAAATCAAATTACAAAATCAGGACTAGCTAAACCATAACTATTAATTGAAAAGAAAAACAACAACAACACATAAATAGACAAATTTATTTTCAAATAGATTAAAATTCTTTAAACACCAAATACGCCGTCTCAATAACTTCCAAGTTCCCGCCATCTTGACTTTTTCATTTCTCGAACCACAGATTACATTTTCCCGCTAAGCGATGACGTTGCGTTTTTTTTTGTCTATGCTTCTAATATAATATTATTAATCACAAGCTTTGATTATAAATATAATGTCTAGATAAAGCAATGTAAAACAGACTTTTTTTTTAAAAAGAGTAACGAATGGAGTTTCTTGCTCGTTCTTCTCCACTCGAATCGACATTTTGGAACGAGCGCCTAGCTTCACAGACGGACGGACTGACAGACTATTATACCTCTATATTGTATATTTGTTGACGTTTCAAAAGTACCAAATTATGGTTTAATTGAAATAAATGCTTTTGAGTTTGAGTTTGATAGAGCGTCACCAATACAATAGCAACAAAAAATACGGTCCAAAATTTCTTGGGCGTGTGCGTGCGGCTTGTAGTTTACACGAAGTAAAAATGATACCAGCTGTGACAAAAAATTCTGCGATTCAATTTATATCTCCCATAAATATTTGGGTTCATGTACCAGACCATTTAGAAGTACCTAAAATAAAAAATATATTGTAACCATCTCTTTGAATGTGATTTTAGAGTTTTTTTACCTACTGATGTACCTACTGACACTCGATCTAGACATTATATAATCAAAGGTCGCAAGTATAAATACCTATAGTGAGCGATAAAATATGTGACTGTTAGGTACACTTTACTAACAGTGAACCAATATTAGTAAATAATGAATAAGTATCCATGGTGATAACACTAAAAATACATAAAATCACACCTATTTATTTAGTTAAAAGATCGCCAAACATCAGACGTTTAAAGAACCAATTTTGGCTTAATTATCTTATCAGTAAAGCAAAGGATACACTAGGGGACACAACACAATAAATTAAAAGTGAAGCTATTTGCTCATTCCAATGTGTAGATTTCTATGGAGAAGAACGAGCAAGAAACTCCATAGGTTACTGTTTTTC